GGATCTCTGTGAGTTGAGACCAGCCTGGTCTACAAGAGCTAGTTCCAGGACAGCCTCCAAAGCCACAGAGAAACCCTGTCTCAAAAAACAAAAACAAACAAACAAAAAAAGCACACACAAAAACACAACAACAAATAAACACACATGCACACACAGGAATAAGTAAACTTATTTAGTTGCCTGCTCAGTCAGAGGTGTAGAGTGACAGTCGGCAGGTGGCTGTTTCTCCCACCCCCTCTTCGGTGGTGTTTTGAGACAGAATCTAATGCAGTGGTTCTCAACCTTCCTAATGCTGTGACTGATACAGTTCCTCATGCTGTGGTGACCCCCAGCCATACAATTGTTTTCATTGCCACTGTTATGAATCATAATGTAAATATCTATGTCTTCTGATGATCTTAGGTGACTCCCGTGAAAGGGTCCTTTGAAAGCCCAAAGGGGTGGTAACCCACGGATTGAGGAGAGTGGTCTCATGTAACCCTGGCTGGCATGGAACTCAATATACAGCTGAGAATGAATGGCCTTGAATGTCTGATCCTCCTGCCTACACCCCCCAGGTGCTAACAATACAGGAGTGTGCCAAGTATATGCTGCCAGGCATAAAGCATGTCTGGTTTGGTTGCTGCTGGGGATTGAACCCAGGGCTATGTGGATGTTAGGCAACTGGTCTTTTACCTGAGCTACATCCCCAGATGTGTGTGCGCCTCTTACCCCCAGGGCCTCGCAGATTGCACTATGACAGATACACGATAAGTCCAACCCCCCTTCCTAGTAAATATATAGCAACCTTACTCCAATAAGGTAACAAGGATGGATCTTGAGGGAAAGATGGGTATTGGTAAAGGAAAAATGATACTACATTCAGCTCCATTTATAATCTATTTATGGTGGGCTAGCAAGACAGCTCAGTCGTTAAGAGTACTTGCTACAAAAAGCCCGGTAACCTGAGTTTAATCCCAGGAATCCGAAAAAAGTTTGTCCTCTGACTTCCATATGTGTGCCAGAGGACAGGTGCCACATACATACACACATTACACACACAGTGAGTTTTTAAATAGAAACAAAATAATAGGCTAGAGTAACCAGGGATAAGGTGGGCAATACGTGCTTCTAAAAGGCTAGAAAGGAGTAGTCATAACTCCTATCCCTTGATTTTGGAGGAACGCCACTATAGAACAATATGTTGTCACCCATTCCCCCAGGAAATATATAAACACAAAGATCCCAGCAAATGCTAAAACCAAAGAAGAGGAGCAGAGGGCAGAAGGGTCAGTAGGAGGGCGAATGAAGAAATCGAACACAGATATAGAAGAAGAATGAGGCAACTTGAAGGCATGTCAGCTACTTTCTTTAAACACCCACTAAGAAACTTTGCCATGTCCCCACTGCACTGAAACTATTAGACAAATATGATGAGGGTTTTCTATTCTAGTCAGTGGAAAGAGAAGAACAGAAGGCAGCCAAGTCAAGATAATGGAATTTGATGTTTAAAAAAAAAAAAAAAAAAGAAGGAAGAAAGGAAGACGAACGAGGGAGGGAGGGAGGGAGGGAGGAAAGGGAGGAGCACCTGGAAATACGTAGCTTATTTTAGAAAGAATGGGGGAGCTAAGGGTTCACCTCACTTTTCCCCCACACTGTAAGTCTATTTCATAGACAATGTAACTAAGTCCAACAACCCATTACCCTTTATCCACTTCAACTCCTAAATATAAAATTTATCATGTTATTTCTTTCACATTCCTTGGAAGCATATACACATCTATACACACACACACACACACACACACACACACACACACACACACACACACACACCCATGCACACACAGGCAGATACACATACACCTATACATATAACCCAAGAACTGTGAGTTTTCTGTTCAATTTTTCTCCCATGCTCATGACTGAGCAGTGGTGCCTGTGACACTAAGACACCAAGACTGACCTCTAAGCACACTATCTTTTAGTGATGGGTTCCCCCACTGTGGCTCAACTGTCAACTATGTCACTCTAGCACGTAAGGGCAAAAGACAACAGTCAGTGCAGCACACACTCTTCAAGACTCCCAGGAAGGATCTGCATTACCTGGTAGTGTTCCAACAGCCTCCCTGTCCCTGGTAGCAGCTCTGCTCTAAATTCTAAGAAATACCTGGGCAACAGAATTTTTTCAAAGATGCTTATCATGAAAGAAGCCAGAGACACTCAGTAAGGGGGGAGGAGGATCTTTGTAGATCTCAATGCCAGCTATGCTCCCAACCATGTCTGGCAGAGTTCTCAAAGGAATTCTCTTGGCCATGTAACAACACAGGGGGCTGCACGCACACTTAAAAGGTTTTCAGTATGTACTAAAAGACCTGTGGGCTATGGACAGTAGAAGCCACCTGAACTCAACTAAATAAACTAAGACATCATTTTCTTTCAAAGATCTAATGACACTTTTGAGGGTACACATTACAGTTCATCCAAGCTAATCTACTGCCCTTTGTTTCATAAGGTGGTCTTAACATCAAGCAATCTTATCACAGTTAAGATCAGATCCTAAGAGTTTTCAATGTATTCTGTCTTCAAAAGGTCAAGTCCAATTATAAAGCTTGACTTGAGACAAGGGGTAAAATGGAGAAACTAAGAATCTCTCAGGGCCAATGTCAGACCTAGCAGCTTCACGAGAAGCAGTCAGAGAGAGAACGACTGCCAGACCGGGAATAAGGACTGCAGTAATGAAGCCAGCACATTGAAAAGGGATGCAAAGAACAGCACACTGCCACAGAAAAAACTGGGTCCCTGGAGGCAAGGGAAAAAAGGAGGGCAGCCACAACCATGGAAGAAACAAGTGCAGAAGATGAACAGCAGCCCCACAAGCACAACAGCAGCCTAGTAGCAGTCTGGGCCCTGAACTTACAACAGCTGGAAACAATGCCCACCCCAGGAGAAACCCTGGCTGAAGGATGACACTATACTGAGTGGCCTAAGGCCATAGGCAACAGATGTTTCCACATTTCTGAGCCCCCTACTGCATTTTTCTGGAAAGGAAACATTTGAGAAACGGGTAACGGTATAATTAGTGCACTCTAAGGCAGGCGGCA